ATAAGTCCGTAGCCACCTTGTCGATAAATGAGATCCAACTGCAAATTTTATATTCTTCACAAATATCTAAGCCAAGTTAAAAGTATCGGTCGTAGTACCAGGAGAATTTTACAACGTGGTACTGTATTTTAAATTTTCTCAATCCACAAGACAGACCAGGGAAGCACCGATCAATGGCTGCAGTCTCACGCATTTACGAACAGCAATGCCAGTTTGACAAGATTGTCTATGGTTTTCTTTCGGAAGGTTGAGAAGTTGGTAACAGATTCCTATCAAAGCAGTCTTCAAAGTCAGTGAAATTCCACGATTTGCTGTGTCACACTGCATAGAAAAACAAAGAATGGAGTACCGATTAATCTACGATTTCCCAAAAAAGGATGGATTCAAGTGGACGCTTTGTTGCAAAAAAAAACCTGTCGTTGAATCTTATTCGCATGTTCGGTATATTCTTTCGTGTTTTTCTGCAGGAGCTTTCCATCGAATTTAAGTAGCGGACCCTCGGTCACCAGGAAATGACCTTCGAAGCGTCGTAGTGAGTGAAATGATGCTGACGAGATTGCTTGCACTGCAACGTTTGCATTTTTCTGCCAAGCCAACAGCAAGAAAAGCAAATGTTCCAAAAATTTATAAATTTACATTATAAATTTGAGAAGTAAAAAAGTTTGCCTGGCGAATTATGTGCACCACCTTTTTCAACCACCGGAGAAAAGTGGTGAAAGTTGGTCTTTCAAAGAGCCTCACATCCCCGTGCAGTAACCTTCTAAGCCCACTGGGGTAGAATCACTCGGTTTCTGACTATTTTTCCAAAAACCTACTCAATTTTTTTCATTCGCAAAAAAAAAAAACAGTGACTAATCTCTGATAAACACACAGCACCAGGGTAATCAGTCTTACAGAAAGTTGAAAATCCAACTGCGTCAGTGGGAGAAAAACCAAACATATTTCACACAAATGCTCGTTTCTCAGGAAACATCGAAAACCACTAACTATTCCCGTCTCGTTTTTTTTTTGCAGAAGAGCAAGAAAAACATGAAAAGCATAAACTCTGCATACTTTTAGAAATAGTAAGAATAAGCACGACAACAACCATGCCGACAATGACGAAGAGCAGTGCGAGCCACATGATCAGCTTGAGCTTGTAGCGCGGCGATGGGTCATCGAACTGCAAGCACGT